AAGCAAACTCACCCTTCGTCTTTCTGAGCAAAGAGTACAGCACACACACTCTCCTGGCTCCTATCTGAAGACTGAGGCTCCAAGGATGCTCCTGAGACAAAGCGGGGAAGAGGAGGGATACCTTGAGCATCACTGTGTGCTTGCTGATGTATTGCTCAGGTAGAAGGATAAGTGTGGGGCTCAGTTTGGTTTGGCAATGGACTTCATAAGACAAAGGGCCAGGACGGCTCCCTCCTGAGTCAGTGCTGCCTGGGGACAGCTCTGGGAGGCTCTGTCAGAGAGGAGCTCCTACAGCTGACATCAGGATACACATGGCTGGGACTGGTAAGATGGCTTAGGAGTTAAAGACCCTTTCTATACTCCTAACAGTCTCAGTCTGTGCTCCGAGACCTACATGGCAGGAAGAACTGACTTAGGCACACACATACACACCCTCTCCCTCCTCCCAGTAATAAAAACATAAATTTTATAAAAGAAAGGCTTGGTTCAGCTAAGGACTGGTGTGCTCCACCCATGTGATGGTATGTTACTCAGACATAAAAAGGAACGGAGGCCTGACTCACACCGCAGCATGGACTGATCCTGAAAACACATTCAGTGACAGAAGCCAGATATGGAGGGCCACACCATGGCCTTGACCTTGATTACAGGAAGCATAAAGAATACTAACATTCACAGAGACAACAAGGAGACTTGGGTCGGCAAAGGCTGTGTAAAGGGGAAGTGGGAGGGACTGCTGATGGGTTGTGGGAGCTCCTTCGGGAGTCAAGTTACTTTGGAACTAGTGGGAGGTATCAGTTGCATGTTATGTTTGTACCAAATGCCACCCCCAACACCCATGTAAAAGCCTAGTGTGGTATCGTTCTCATAGGACTGAGGCGGTGGCAAAACCCAGAGGACCCCTGGGGTTTTACTATCCACCCTAGACTAGTTCAATTGGTGAGCTCCAGGTTCAGTAGGAGACAGTTGTTTAAAATATATATATATATATATATATATGGTTGAAAGAGACTGAAGAAGGAATCCAGCATAGAACCTTTGGCCTCCATATTCATGTGTGAATATATATATATATATATATATATATATATACACACACACAAGCAACACACATGCGGTTGCACATACACAAGTAACACACATGCATGTGTACACACACACACACACACACACAGAATTTCACACTGGAAGAAAGAGGAAGGGGAGGAGGAAACAGTTACAGCCACCACTGCATCACCATCACCCTGAGGCCCCCATCTAAACACCCACTGTGTCTCTTCTTCCTGGATAGGACCTCAGGAGGCCCCGAGAGCTTTTGCAACCTCAGGAAGAAGAGAAGTGGGCTCTCTGCTCCCAAGTGGCCAGCTGGGCCCCGTCTTAGCCAAGGGCAAGCTGTGTTTAAGAAACCCCATTTGCACAATTCTCATTTTGATCCCAAAGACTCTGCTTGTTCTTGGTGCACAAGGTCATGTGGGAACACAGTAACCCTGCATGACCAAGCAGCACAGAGCTCAGGAAGCTACATGGGCACAACCTCTCTTTAGGCTCCTGCTAGGAGTACCCCCTAATCTGCCTATGGGAACCCACTCCTGCTATTTTAGAAGGTCCAACTCACTGTTCAGTAGTGTGGCCCATTTGAACAGATGTCCTTGAACTGAGCCCAAGGCAGACTCTCACTCTTTGTCCTAGCTCTGTCCTCTGAGGCTTCCCCAGGACAAAGCGGCCCATCTTCCTGGTACAGCCTCAGAACTCTGGGATGTTGAAGATGGGGCAGTGGACGGCTCACCTACCAAAGGCCTGTGTCTGACTTATCCTTGTGGACTCTGGACAGTTTTCTCCACCTCTCCAGGTCTCAGTTTCCCAACCTGTATCATGGCCTGTCATCCTTCCCTAAGTCTTGGTGAAACTAGGGGCAAAGCAAGGCTCAGAAACAGGCAAAGGGCCCTGGGGCAGTAGCAGCCCTTGGTGGCTCACCTGTGTGGAACTTGCCTGAGTAACAGCCCTCTTGCTAGCCAGAGAAGGCAGGCCATGACTTCTAAAGAGATCTCTGGTGCATTCCTGGGTATGTTCCAGAGAAAGAAGGGGCCAGAGCTAAAGGAGGACATTTCCATTTCTTCCAGATGAGAAAAAAGGGCTGGTCACCCCTCATTTGTGCTCAGAGGCCTTGCTTGGTTTGACCTTTTTTCTCAGTGCCTGGCCTTGACCCTGATCTTTTCCCCAAATTCCTGATTTCTTCTCAACCTGCTAATGCCAGATCCTTAGAGAGCAGTGACGAAACAGGTAAGACACCCAGAGAGCTGGAGCCAGTTTTGACCATAACTGCCATAACCTCAAGTTGCCCTTCATATATACATACATATATATATATATATATATATATATATCACATAAAATATATAGTGTGTATGTGTGCATACATATAACATAATATATTGGTGTATGGGTGTGATATAGATAGATAGATAGATAGATAGATAGATTGATAGATATAGTGTGTGTCTCACATAATATACATAGTGTGTATGTGTGCAAACATATAAAATAATATATTGATGTATGTGTGCGATAGATAGATAGATAGATAGATAGATTGTGTGTGTGTGTGTGTGTGTGTGTGTGTGTGTGTGTGTGTGTGTGTATTTCGAGACAAGATCTCATGGATCCCAGGCTACCCCTTGAACTTTCCCTGTTCCAGAGATTACTCTGAACATCTGTCATTTTGCCTCCACCTCCCGAGCGCTGGGATTACAGGCACTAACTACCACACCTAGCCTACAAAGTGCTGGAATTTGATGCCAGGGTTCTGTGCACGTTAGGTGAGCATTGTACATCCTGGCTCTATGTGGTGTTTTATAAGGACCACAACCTGGCAGGTAAACACGCAGGTTTTATACACTAAGGAGAGATACTAGACTCTCTGAGTCTTCCTGCTAGAGGTACTCCATTCATTGCAAGCACTCAAATTCCCCGACACCATGCTGCGAGGACATCGGAGAGCTTGCTGACATCAAGGTTTGGGTGCTTGCTTTTCACGCTCTGTGAGTCTACAGAAACCCACCCTTGTTAGCCAGGGTGCCTCGGCAGATCACTGCACACAACCCCCTCATTCATGCTGGGCATCTATACGGGGAGAGTTTTCTCCTCTGTGTTGATAGCCTAGCTCCATTCCATCCTCCCTACCCATGACAAGGTCCAAGGCAAGGGACTAGCCATTCTCCTCATTCCCACAGGCTCTGCAGAGAAAGCTGAGGCTGTGGGAAGCCTCGGCCCCTTCCCCAGTCTGTGAGGGTTGGCCGGCAGGCCATTGAGGCTTCTATTCCTGCACACAGGAGCTTGTCTGTTTCAGGTGGTTTGTCTCTGGTAGAGACAGGAAGGGAATGCCAAATTAACGCTGGGCAATAAATTCTGCAAAAGCCAATAAAACCAAAGCAGAGGGCTGGAGGGAAGAACCACAGCAACTGATTAAACATTTTTGTTGGCAGACACAGGCATGGGCACATTTTCCAAGGTTTGCATCAAGGAGACATCTGGCCCTGGCCCAGGGATTTGCAGGAGGGAATCCTAGCAGGCAGAAATGAGGGACCAGGCAGGGCTGAACCCTATAGGGATCCCAAGCTACTGGTGAGCCTCTTCCAAGCACCTGAGCACCAACAGTGGCCCCAGTTAGCTGGTTAGGAAGCTTCCTGGCCAGATCTATCAGCTACAGGAGTCAAGGTCTGAAGATAGTGTTCTATGCTGGGAATGCCTGCCATCCTGCCCAGCCCTACCCAGACTCAGTATTCCGAACTAGAAGGCTAAGACCTGGAGTGCGTTTGAATTTTAGGGAGACAGTGGAGCTATTGGCTAGGTCAGAGAAGGCCCCAGGATTCCGACCTCTTGGGTCCTTTAACCATAACATAAACTCTCTCAATCTACCGCCTTGCCCATGTTAGCTCTCTTCTCTAGATCCACCTCCTCCCTCTGAGACTGTGCTGTGCTCTCTGCCTCCAGTGTACCAGCGGCTGCATGTGCACACCCATGCCTGTGTACTCCTAGCAGGCTCTGTGCTTTATCTTGTGTTTATCTTTCATTGAAAGATGCTGTGGGGCTCTTTGTGGGCACATGCGTACCTGCGGTGGAAGGTGGGGACACCCAGGTAGAGTGGCCAGTGGCCAGCTGACATACAGTCCCTGGATCTGTTTGGAAGAAATGGTTCCACAGGGATCTCTCCGTCCTTCACTCTCCACTGCCCTTCCCATCCTTCCAGGAGGCCCTGTCTGAAACAGCTGCAAGATGGTGTCCTACAAGCCCAGGCCCCAGTATCACCGATGGCACGGGGACTACTTAAGAGGTGTAACCCCCCCCCAATGTAAAAATCAAGACATGCCTGGTATCAAGGTTTGTCAAATGATCCCGGAGCCATGCGAGCCCGGTCTACTTCCACACTAAACCCAGGGGCTAGGAGACTCCAGCTAGCTCTTTGGACGTGGACTTCTGCCATCAACTCCAGCAATCCTGGGGGACATCTGTCTGAGGGACCACTTCAGAAGCACAGCCCTCTGTTGTCCCAGGAACACCTGCCAGCTGGGACTCCATCCTTCTGCAGGACCTGGTCAAGTTCACTGCCTTGGCCCTGAGGCAAGCAAATCCTAATTACTTCTGCATCTGGTGTTGTTGGGCTGGACTCCTGTTTACTCACCATTGGCCACACCAACAACTCCTGCCCTCCAACTACCTCATGCCTTCATAAACCTTTTACCCGGACTTCTCCCAACAAGCCCTACATATGTTCTGGATTCTGAGCAGGGGTCACCTGCTTAGAGACAAATCTCTCTAGCAGGGCTGGCCACAGCCCTGCATGTCTGTGTCTGTGAACATACCTTGTGCCGTATCCTGTGGTGAGATTTGGCCTCAGGAATAACGAGAGCCAGACACTAGGAAACATGTAGTGAATGAAACCCAGATTTCCCAGCAATGAGTCACCCCAAAGAGGAGATTTCGGGGCCCGAATCTTTACCTACCTCTGAGAAGAATACAGAGAGAATGACCAGACTGATCCAGTGAATGACACCAGCAAACTGGAATGCACTGGAAACTGTAAGGAACATAGTGAGGCCAGGTTTAGGAGCAAAGAATTGAGTCCATCCATCTAGGGGGCTTTGTGGCATGGCGGCAGACTTTGGGGACCCCTGGGTGCTTGTAGAAACATTTGGATCGGTTAGAAATCGGGTCTGAGAGCAAGGGCAGCTATAACCTGTTAGAAATTGGGTCAGAGAGCAAGGGCAGCTACAACCAGTGGTTATGTGGGAGCAGTGGAAACGTTGTGACCCAAATGCTCTTCTCTCCTCCAAGGCCATCTCCCTTGATTCCTCTGCTCACTGCCAGACCCAGGGAAGGAGGTCAGGACCACAGCAAAGTTCTGGAGTGGGCAGCTTCAAGATCCACAGCACACCATCCCCACAGCTCAGTGCACTTTGTGTGGGCTCTGGGTAAGCCTCTCTGCCCCTCCGTTCTGAGCTCGCGGTAGTGGGGATGGTGCTGGCAGCAGTATGGAGAGGTGGCTGGAGCGATGCCTGGCAGGGGGAGCTGATGGGTGAAGGCGGCAGAGTCTGTGGGCTGGGGCAGACAGAAGTCCCTTCCAGGTCCACAGGGTGAGGCCAGCACTGATGATTCCCTAATCATCTTCAACTACCCAGACACTCTAAAGGGTAGGATGCCGCAAACAGCCTCCATACACTAGGTCACAGTTTATATGCTAGCGAAGGTAACAGGAAGGTGTGAGCGTCTAGAACAATGGTGGGCTGACCTTGGTAGAAAGAGGGCAGAATGGTCCCCAGAGAGTATCCTCTGGATGGATCAGGGGAACTCTGGGGGCAGGAGGTAGGGGTCTGTGGCAAACAGAGGGCCTGTTTCAAGCTATTCAAATTCCCCTTGGTCAAAGAAAGATATCTTCTTTGGGTAGGGCTGGCTTTTCCTAGGCTCTAAACCCATGAACCCTTGGAGTGGGTAAAAATAAGGTCCTCAAGCAAATCCAAGAGGAAGGTTGGAATACTGGGTTCCAGGAGGGAGATGCAGGGGCCCCCTGGCTCAGGGCCAGTATGACCCTCAAAGGATGAGCCCTGGGGACAGCGTGAATTCCTCCCCAATCGGAGTCACATGAATACCAGTGGGAACCAAAAGGCTGAGGCCTGTGTGACTCTGAAAAGACCTCAGATGATTCTGGAAACATAAAATCTCTCCCCATTATTTCTCAAATGAATTCCTGTGCCTTTTTTTACGGTTTGCTTTAGAAGAGCAATAAATCTCGGATTGTGCGTTTTATGGAATTTAAGATGCCTTTTATGAGCTGCTATTGGATCTCCCACCAAAATCAATCTCCTGGATACTTAATTTTAAGCAAAATTCCAGTGTCGGCTGGGTTCTCAGTTCTACCTGATGCCTCATCACACACAACCTGAGAAGCCCAGGGCCCGAGTACAACCCACCATAGGGAGAGAAGGGCTCCGTTATGGTCAGATCCCATAAAACACAGAGTCTGGACACAAGGAGGGAAAGCCTACAGCACGGTTTAATTGAAGACAGGTTGAGTGTAAAACCAGTACTGGGCACTTAATGTTGGGAGATACTTTAATTGGAACCAAGGGGCCACTGGCTACATAAAACCCAACTAGGCTTATCAGACAAAAGCAATTCTGTGCTCTCTCAGAGAGCAGACAAGGCTGGTGTGTCTTGGAAGGAGCAATGACAAGCCCTGAGCATAGAAGATCCAATGAAGGATTTGGGGCATCTGAGAAAACAAGAGAACAAAAAGGGTTTGGGGTGGGGGCTGAACCTCTTGTCCTGGATTCTGTAAGCGGTGGAAAAGAAAAGCTCTCTGCAGCCAGTAATTTCACTTTTAAATTTTCAATTTTGTACTTGAATGGTCCACCTCCTAGATCAAGAAAGGTGTGTGGGGACTGTTCCATAAGCTATATGCTCATCCACAGGCAAAGGCCAGACACGTGAGCCTCTGGTCTTCTGGTACACCAAGCAGGGTTTTCCAAGGGCGGAGATTGGAGTCCAGCCTCCACGCTGACAGTCATTTTGCCACAGTGCCTCCTGATGCCACACACACCAAACGGCCACTGTTAAGAGGCCAGAAGGAATGCCCAAAGGAGGAAATGTGGACAAAGAGTCAAACAGTCTGGAGGTTTGGAGTCTCCTGCTCCGTTCCTCTGACCTAGGGTGAGTCGTCGATACCCACAACCTTTAATTTGTCTGCCTGTCTGTAAGATGGGGTCCTGCCCTACCCGTCCTGTGCACCACATGGTTGCTGGCAGGTCTGAAGGTGTCAATGTGGAAAAGCATTTTCAAAGCTATCAGGACACACGTAAAGGATGCTGCCCACTTCAGGCTGGGACAAACACCAGCACTACCGCTGCTGACAGTTCCTACAGGTGATCCATTTCCCAAAATGGAACTGTTTAAGCCAGAAAAAAAAATCACCCTGGAAAATTCCAAATGAGAACAATTTAAAAAAAAAAAAGATGCATACAGGGGTCCCCAACTTCTGTTTTGTCTCATCCGTTTCTGATCATGGAACACTAGGAAGGGGACTGAAGAGGCCACATTGGACAGATGACAAAGGGGTGTCGAAGGTGACAGAGAAGCTGCCAAGTGTGTTCCCTCCCCAGGGGCAATCCCCATGGGCTGTTGTGGGATTGGCAGCTTGGCAGTGGCACAGGCTGGGGGATGATCCCAGTGGCACAGGTTGGGGACCCCTGAGGGATGCAGATGCACAGTGAATATTGACATATGTATTTGCATATGTATCTCTCTTGCTACTCACACTGGAGAAGCTTTATATCTATTAGAAGTTCCAGGGTCAGGAGAATCACCACCAATATTACACAGGCTACCAGGAAACTGTTGAGACTTGCACTGAGCAAAAATACCTGCCATACGGCTGCTCTCTTCCCACAGCACGGCTTCAGCCAGTTAGACCTGTAGGGACAAAAGGAGAAGAGGGGCTAAGGGGCTGAGGGGACACCCTGGCCACAGCCTTGCCTCAGAGCCACCAGCCTGGCTCCCCTGGGGCCTGAGGTTAATTTGTTTTGTTGGTTATGCTGGGGATGCCAGGCAGGGTCTTGCTAAGCCAAGCAAGATCTCCACCACTGAGCTACATCCACGGCTGGGCATCATGGGAGACTATGCCTCTTCAAGAGGCCACAGGGTAGACTCGCAAGAGTAAAGCAATCTCATTAAGGGACAGAGCTGAGCTTACAGGTTGACTTTGAGAACTTACAGGAACTCTCTAGGATTCGGGCTTCTCAGGTTGGAAGTGGGTGTAGAACTCACACCCCATGGGTGAGTCAAACTTGCCTAGGTGGCAAGAGTCACAGGACAAGCCACTGTCACTCTATTTATGTCTCTCAGAACCCAGCCCATGTGCTGGCATTGGGGAAATCTCCGTTTCTACTCAACAAATATTCTAAGCACCCAGTGGATGGAATTAGACCTTTGTTGGCTATAAAAGAAAGTGTTGCATTGGATCCCTATTTTTCAGGACAGATTATCTAAACACTGTTTCTTCAGAGTGTTAATAGCTGTTACTTGATCCCCTCCCCCCAGAAATTCTATAATTGGGTAAGTTTGGGAAAATCTGGGTCAAAGTTCAATGGTCATTTATTTGTGGGGTATTCCAGTGTCTTTACTATGTTGCTATGCCTCACTGTGCTCCACATGGATGGCATCTGTGCTTACCAAACTGGTTAGGCCAGGGCTACCTCTTGTCACAGAGCATCAGGTGGGACTCATACTCTGTGTACAGCTGTCTTTGGGGAGGCATCTGTAGGAGAGAGGAGGCCCCTGAGGACAGATGATCCTGAATAGGGTGGGAATGGTCAGGAGGCCACAGGAGCTCAGAGCTCAATTGAGCCTCTTAGGGTACTAGATGCCCTCCCCTGAGGAACACAAGATGGGGAGCCTTTGGGAACACTGTGATGCTGGGGTGCTGCACTCAGACCTCACTGATTGGGTTGTTTATGATCCATCCATGTTTGCCAGTCTGATTTTAGTGAGAATTATGCACCCTAAAGGGGCTGAGATGTGCCAGGGAAGTCTTTGCTTTGGGGTCTGCCCCATTGCCCTGGGGTCATGTGCAAAGGCATCAGGTCACTCTGGGACTTCACTTCTCCACTTGGAAAGTACAGAATAGTATTTTTAACTAGTAGAGTTGTTGAAAGATAAAGGAAATAATGTATCTGACCTGCAAACACAGTGTGACTGAAATGACATGATGATGGTGGTGATGATGGTGATGATGATGGTGATGATGATGATACTGAGGGTGATGGTGACGATGGTGATGGTGATGATGGTGATGATGATAATGATGATACTGAGGGTGATGGTGATGATGATGATGATGGTGATGATGGTGATGATGATACTGAGAGTGATGGTGATGATGATACTGAGGGTGATGATGATGATGATGATGATGGTGATGATGGTGATGATGATACTGAGAGTGATGGTGATGGTCACAGTCACGATAATAATATCTGATGGATTGGCCATCACCACATCCTTCCCATTCATAGGGAGTCAGTCTGCTGTAGCCTGCTGTAAGGAGAACCAGTGTCTTCCTCTTGAAGACTAGGGTGTCAATGGGCTGGGAAGGCAGCTTCTCGTTACTCTCTCTGAAAGAATGATGTGAACACTTTTGGCTGGTGACGTCTTCCTCCTGGTTTGTTCAGAGAAAGCTTGAATGCCAGAGGTCTTGAAGAATCCTATCAGGAAACCAGGCTTGCTTAAGTCTCTCGGGATATTACTAACACCTACGGGAATGATTGATGGTCTCCGTCCTTGGCTCAGTGGTGATGCAAAGACCAGGGGTGGTCCTCTCCAGACTCGGGAAGCAAGTTGCAGAAAGAGACATTTAGAGACTGAAACATGATGGAGGAAGCTAAGCAGATCACTCTGAATGGGGGAAGAAGGGTTGCATGAGTTCCTACAAAGGCCAAGAGTATAGAGTGAGAGAGGAGGAGACTGGCTGGGCCAGAAGAGGGGGTTTCTCTAAGAGACAAAGGGAAAACAGGGGTGCAAAGCCTGGTGGGAGCTAAATCACAAAGACCAACCCTGGCATCTCTGTGGCCCCTTGCAGGGCAAACTTAAAACGTACTGCGTTGGTCACACTTCTCAACCCAAACAGAAGCCACATCGAGCTCAGTAGAATTGCTAGACAAATTCAAATTTCAGATAAACAACGAACAACTTCCTAACACAAATATGCCCCAGATACTGCATAGAGGATGCCCCTACTAAAAAAAAAAAATATTATTTAAACGTTACAGGGCCTTATGTATTGCTATCTGCTAGGTCTGGCCAACTCAGAGCTGAGTGTCTCAAGGAGCCTGATGAAAGCGGCTGTGATTTAGTTGGAGAAATGCACGGATGAAGAGGCCATATTAGCGTTTAAAAAGCCCAACTTGATTTTCTCAGTTGTACCCCGGGAGGGTAAACAGAGAGCTCTAGCACCTGGAAGAAGTACTTTCTGAGTGATAACTATCCTTTTCTTGAGGACCCTGGGACACCCGGAGGAGCCAGGGAAATCTAGAGGAAAACCCGTGAGGTCAGCTGTCGTCATGAGAGGCAGAGGGGAGTACTCCACCATGTGTTCACGGACAGCCTGTTCCCATCTGTTTGGAGGCCCCCAGAAGCGGAAGCCTGCTGCCCACTGGAGCAAATATCCGCGGACTGCGTTCCTACAGCCGACACTCTTGGCTATTAAGAACTCCGTTCTCCCCACCCTCCCGTCTTTCCTGCTCCCTACTTCCTTCCCAGCGTGCCACTCCTGCCTCTCCTTCTGCTTGGTCCTATTTGCATCTCTCCCCGCTCTCCGTTTGTGACCAGCCTTCAACCTGGCACTTGTGGAAGCTTTGTGCCGTGTCCTTCCCATCCTGCGGTCTTCCAATGGCATGCATTCTTTCCCAGGGTATAAAGACACCTCAGGCCCAGCCCCACGGCGTCCACTATTAGTGGCCGCTAACACTGGTGCCACTTCATTGTCATCTGAAACGGGAGCCAAGCAGCTTTGGACGCTATAAATAAAACGGGCAGCTGGGAAGACTGTTGGCCCTGGGTGACGTCCAGTGGTGAACAGGAGGTTTCGCCCTTGTGGTCAGTGGGAGCAGCTGGGCACTCTTCCGCCCCCCACCTTGTACATCTGATGGCAGTGAGATGTGCCCTGAGAGCCTGCTGCTCCTGCTGCCCCGGAGGAGAGTCCCCAAGAGAGGGAGGGAAAACTCCATCCGGGTGTAGCTCACCTGAGTGATGATCAGAGAGGCCACTTCACACTGCTACTTAAGTGTGAAAATGCTGACCCTGCTTTTGAAAGAGCTGTGGGAAGGCCTGGAGTCAGGCCTCTGCAATCTGAGGTTAGCCTGAGCCTGGGAGAGGATCAGACGGAAGGGCTCAGAAAGGAGGCAGGGGCAGATCTGGATGTCAAAGGATGCTGGGTCCCCAGCATGGGCTAGGTGGGCCCTGTGTCCCGAGTCAGCCACACTGGTTACATGGTAGTGCGAAAGATGAATTCAGACAAGTTATACTGCACTATAGGGTGACAGGGACATTAACAGGGAAACCCAGAGCTGGTGCAGGACCCAGGATGGTGAAGAGTTGGGCAGACATTTAAGACCAGGTGTTAAGGGGTAGAGGGCCACCCCTGAGCCTCAGCTCGCCACCCTGTGTTTGTAAGGCTTTGCTTACTTGAAAAGTTTTACACCAGCTGGACTTCTTGACTGTTTCCACCCCTCATCAGGGGGTGGGAAGGACATGGGACCCTCATCTGAGTACCCAGCTGCTGCATGAATTCTGCCCTAACTGCACAGGGCTAGAATATATAGTTGAGGAAGACGAGGGGAGGGAAGCTCCACATATTCAACTATGGGAAAGCCCTCATTCCTGCTGGGTAAGACTTTCTGGTTCAACCTTTTGGGGGAGAAACACCCACACCCCCTATAGATAACTCCAAACCCCCAAAGGAGTTGCAAAGCCAAGCCTACCTCTCCAGGTCCTGTATTTCTAACTCCTGTGGCAATTTAGCTGTGCCCAGCCAAAGCTTGGCCCTCAGCTACCAGTCCCTCGACTACATCAGCCTGGGAGTGTCCCCAGGCTGCACAGGGAGGTGGTATTTGTATCACAGGCGCTATCACAAATATTGGGTGAACCTCTTTCCTCCCAGTGACCCCACGACACATAGAAGGGACTTGAGAGACACGGATGAAGGAAGACCATCTAAAAAGGGACCCGCTGTGGACAGACGTGTCAGAGCAGGGAGGCCTGGAGGTGGGGGTTGGGATCTGCATCCAGGTCAGGGGTTGTTGCAAAGCCCTAAGGGTCAAGTCATACTCCTGGCCCCTTATTAAGCCACTACTTGTGGCTTGTGACCATGGTCTATCTCCCTGGGCGGTTCCAAGGGTAGTCCCACCATCCTGATTCTTCATACTCATCGCCTGGGCGCCCTTGGAGTTACGGAAGCTGCATCGTCCTCAACATCCACTGAACATGGTGCTGCATTTCAATAAGAACCCCCCCAAAATATGGACAAGAGCTATTCTTACAGGTGACAAGTTTTATGGAGGATGAACAGGGTTTGGTGAAGCAGGACAGAGATCACGGTGACAGAAAACAGGGCCACAACCAGCTCAGCATGAAGTCCAGTAGGCTTGCCTGTGGCTCCGTTTTGAACAAGAGAGGCCTGGATAGGGTTGTACAACTACAGGGGCGAAGATCCAAGGGCTTCTGGGCAGAGCTCGCCAATGGAGTGGGACCTGTAGCGCTGAACCTGCAGGTCCCTGGCTGGCCTCACGTTTAGAGTCCTAAACAGCTAACTTAAATGCTAGTGACTCAGACATTGCAAGGAGAGTGTGTATTCGTGGCAAAAGGAGGAAGTATTTCCCGTTTCTAAAGATCCCTGCGCCGTTAACTAAAGATCACGG